GATGGCAAACCAATTGAAAACGAATCAAGAGTGCCTCTGGTGGTCATAGCCGAGTACTGCACTCCACTCTGCCTCACTTGAAGACACGACTAATCAACAATCAACTACACACGGTTAAGCTAATTCGTAACAACCAATTAATTGATCATTATGCCAAATTTATAACCAGTACTTCACTTCTTTTGACAGTTGTAGCACACAAACAGGATTTTTGATGCCGTTTCGCATCATAAGCTGCTCAGATATAACGAGGCATGTAAAGTCAACCATATCTCAACCGCCAAAGACATGATTTGTTTCCTCTTTGATTCTTCTGAGGGCCTTTAATCACTCCAACTTGTCTTTATGCAGCTGAGTGAGGATGAGGACTTCATAAAAGCCAAAACAAACATCAGAGGAAAGGTAGTTGAGGAGGCGAAGCAATGTACATGTGACTAGCTTAGCATCGCTGCAGCCGGCACACAAATCACCGACAGGTTCCAGGATGCACCAGTGCCTTTTTTTTTTTTTTTTTAATTCCCTGACGGCAGCCCCTTTTAGTTTCATGGTCATGTGACTGCACGCCCGTTCCTCAATAATTGAGCGGTTTGAACCCTCGAAGCCACCGCGCCAGGATATGAAAAATCCTCAGCTCCCGCATCCAAATGATTATTCCTAAACAAAGCGTGTTAAATGGACGCCGCCGCCTCTGCGGCACTCTCCATCTGGAGGATGCTGCGTGACAGCTTCCCTTAAATTACAAATATCAATCTGCCTCAGTGGGAGCTCAGCCCACCAGCCGCCTCTCAGGGGTCCGCGTCAAAGCGGGCGGCCCTAAGAACCTCGCAACCATCAAAAGCGGCGTGCACGATTCATGCTTTATTTGCCGGAGCGTGACGGATTGGCATTCCGACAAAAGTCAATGTTTGGATAGCAAAAGGGACGTCGTGCATATACGATGCTCAGTTTGCTTGATGTTGATGCTGTCGTGCTTGTTGATGCAGTAAGAGTAGAAAAGTGTTCGGTGTTGAATCATTTCATGCAGACAAGTGTAGGTGTTGTACCCTCTCAGTGCGGAAAGTACAGCTGTTGAAACGCCCACGCAGCGGCTTCACCCCTGAATAAAGTCAATTTGTCAAAATAAGTTAATCCGTTATTAATAAAATGCCGATTCATTCTAACTCTCAACTGTCTTGAGTGATCAACATTTAGGTTGTGTGCGACTAGAGGCAAAGTTTGATCATATATATTTTTTTGGGGGTGGGGGGTGTTCTCAATATCACAAGCTCTCAGTACAATGATTCGAATATGATTACTGTTGCGAACTGGCCTAACATGACAAAGCAGCCCTAAAAAAAAAGCATTGAGTTTAATCCATATTTTCTCTGAATCTGATTCCACACATTCCTATTTTGTGAGCAAGACCCCCCCAAAAAAATCTTAAAATTGAGCAGTTTACATCTGTGTCGCCTTTTAATGAGTAATCGTTTGCTCACCAACGGATTCACCCGAACCGACAACTGTCTTGCAAATCAACCGTTTCGAGTCAAGTGTATTTTGCTTGTCGATCTGGGTTAGCGCCGCCCATTCCCTCCCTCCTTCCCCCCCCCCACACACCCCCGAGGCACGGAGCGACAGACGTTGGCTCGGAGGGCTCCCAATCTGCCGTGTGATCAGCGGGACTCTCCCCGAGCGTGTTTCCCCCTTTCCCTACCACCACCACCGGCTGTCCGCCTGCGGCCACGCAAGCGCTCGCGCTCGCCGTCCAACTGCTCCATCGACGCAATTCTCCACAGGATCGCCTTCGAGTGGCGAGTCGGCGGCACGGTCTAATTCAATCAACGCGAGGGGTGACGGGCACACAATTCAATGAAAGGGGAGGCTTATCACAGAGAGCGAGCCTCATATTTTGTCACCTTCATGTCTCTGAATAAGGTGACCGTGTAGCTGATATCATGTTGACTTTTTTTTTTTTAGGACAGCAAACTAGCAAACTCCACCTCCGCTAGTTCTAGCTAAGTATTGCTCAAGACGTGATTAATCCACAATCAAGTCCATGAAATCGCCGCATATACATCGGGCTTTGCCGATCCGATTATCGGGAAATCCGAAAAGCGCTCAACGACGGCTGAGCGAGGCGCACGGCAGAGACGCTCGAGTGGAGCTTCATCGGAAATTGATGTCATAATTAAGATGGCTCGTATGAAATATGTATGAAGCGTTTTAGCATAATCCGGCATGCCAACGCTGGGTGGAGGGAATGTCACCGGTGTGCAATATAAAAAAATAACATTTAAAAAAAAGTGTGAAAATGTCAACGCACACACAAAAAAAAAACAATGCTTAGAATTCTGCCCGAATATTTCAAGTGACTTCGTTGAGAGGCCCGGGGGCCAGTCGAACATCCTCCACATGCAAGATTGGAACAAAGGAGCTGTCTGTTTCAGCACCGCGGACAGTTCCACACGTCTCATCTCCCGCCTTCCGTGTGACAGACAATTGACGCTATCGTCCCCCAGATCACCACTAAACGACATCTCTTCTGTGTTAAATTCACACACAAAAAAAAAAGAACAGAGTTTGGAACGCTATCACGTTGTCATAAAACGCCAAAGAAATCACGAAAGGAGAAGAAGTCATTAATAGGCCCCAGAACTCAACATCAAATTTTTGCGTAGACGTCACCAACAGAAAGCATCACACCCGAACAAAAGCAGGATGCCACCTGTGAGTCAGGTCATTCCTGAAAGCCCTTGTCCCATTTTTTTTTTTTTTTTTTTTTGCAAGCAATCATCACTGTCTGGGAAGTATTTTTATAGGCCACATCACACAGTGCCGCTGATGTCATTGAACGTCAGATGCCGCGCCGCCGTCGGGAAGCTCCGATTGATAATCCGCTTCGCTGGATTCTGTGTAAAAACGCACAGGCAGATGCATTTTGGATCTTTTCGTTCAGCTCTGCTGCAGTAATTTTGATGACGCTGCAGAAAAGGAGCAATCAGACGGAAACGATAGAGCATAAACATAAGCGAAAAAAGATCTATCGTCTAGCGTGTACCATCATTCGTGGGAAACGGTTGTCGATCAGCATTTAGCATTCACGCGATTGAACAGCGGCATAAAAACCTCCAACGGTTCCCTCAGGCCAAATTCAATGTACAAGCACATTGTGTTTACATGCAACATTCACACAGCATTATATACAGCACACTATTTTAACTACTACCACCACTACTACTACAATTATTACTACCCCTAAATTTTACATCGAAAGGCAGGTCGAATGTTTGCAGTCACTAACCTGTAGATGGCACTTTTCAACCTCAGAGGATCAACAGTATGTTTTTTTTTTTTTTTTTTTGCTAGTATGCAACAAAATGGCTGACACAGTGACCACTACACTGTTTCTTCTTCTTCTATTACTACTGCTGCTGCTGCTACAATCCCATGCCTTAAATCGTCTGGCTTGGATGAGTTGAATATTTGCTTTTTCAGGCCTCACAGGGCCGCCATGCTTGTGTTTGGCAAATGCGAGTAGTCCTACAACGACAATTATCATGAGTACTACAGCCTTAATGTAGGCCTAACGTCTTTGCGCCCCCTTTGACTTTGTAGGGCCGCAATACCGATGCCTGGTTTTGACAGATACAGAAGTTACAACTATCAGAACTTCAACCACCAGTACTATTACAACAGCCACACTTTTAGGCCTTCGGTGAAGCCAAGTATGTGCGACCTCAAACTCATTTGTGTCCACTTTTGACCCATAAGGGCCACCATATTTTTTGCTTATTTGGGAAATGCTTGTGTTTGGCAAATGCGAGTCGTCCTACGACGACAATTATCACGAGTACGACAGCCTTAATGTAGACCTAACGTGAGTCAAGTCGTTGCGCCCCCTTGGACTTTGTAGGGCCGCAATACCGATGCCTGGTTTTGACAAATACAGACGTAACACCTTAGAACTTCAACCACCAGTACTAGTACTATTACAACAGCCACACTTTTAGGCCTTCGGTGAAGCCAAGTATGTGCGACCTCAAACTCATTTGTGTCCACTTTTGACCCATAAGGGCCACCATATTTTTTGCTTATTTGGGAAAGAATGATAACTACAAGCACAACTTGGACGGCAAATTTGATGCCACGGGTGAGTCAGGTATGTGTTTCCCCTCAGGGATCTCCCTTTTTGAGTCTGTATTGTGCCGTACTCTCTGCTTTTCGCTATCATTCACTAGCACTGCGACTAACAGTCAGTTTTTTTTTTCTTTAGAATTTTATTAGCCCTCAAAATTTTCAACCTTGGTCCCCTTTTCCTACCTGCCAATCTTTGCACACCCAAGCAACACACGCACATGCAAAATCAACACACACAGATCGATAGATCAAGGGATAGATTTTTTTTTTTTTTTTTTTTTT